AAAGGCCTTTGAACTTCTTACTGCGAACCATCAAGTAGCGGTCCAAACGCTGGCTGAGATCCCCAGAAAACCCACAGCACTTGACCACCCAGTCTTCGTAGGCCAGTCGCATTTCCTTTTGAAACTCATGACGCAGTGAATCGAATTTGGCCAGCACAGGAGAGGATTCCGTGTCAGGAGGCAACCACTCGGCGCTCTTTAAGCGCTCCTTCAGCCACGCCAAACGTTCCAAATTGATGCGGTAGTTGAGAGCTGTGGAAACGTGTTTGGATATCCAGGATTCCTGCCTCCGCTCCTCTAGTAGTTTTCTCGAGGTGGCATCCATTTCCTGGGAGAACAGCCTCCACAATCTGCTCACTTCCTTCAAATATGTCTTCCTCAGAGTTCCCCTCTGACGGTAGGAGTAGAACAGCAAGGCCTGCAGGGCCTCCAGTGTCTCCTCCACGTTCGACACGCGCTGGAAAACATTGAAGATTAGCCGCTGGACAGTCTCCTCCAGTTTCTGCATGCTCCTGCGGAAATTGGCCACATCCTTGTACCAATCCGAGCGATGCACATTTAAAATATATGCCTGCGAGCTGCCCTGCAGTTGCTTTAGCGTGTCCAGAAACTGTTGCTCCACATTTTCGGCAATCCTCTCCAGCTCATCGCCACAAGTGCCGCCAAAAGCGGGCTTCGGTATACTCCCGTTTTCATCCAAGCGACCAAACACAATCATGGACTCGCAAATGTCAATCACATCATTCAACCGCTCGACAAAGGCATCGATATGGTTAAAGATCAGGCCTTCGTTCAGCTCCCAAGGCAACTTGGTCTGTTTGCCGGCCAATTCTTTAGACATTTTATCATAGATTCCCTTGTAAGCCAGGCAGCAATCGATGGCATTGTTGCAAATTTGAATACCAAATCGTGGTTTTCCCGAGAGGATATCTTCAACTTTGGTCTGATCCGTGCAAAACCTGTTTAAGAAATGTGGTTAATTCTCTTCAATATACTTATTATTAATGTTTACTTTATGATCTGATTGCTCAAATTCCGAAACAGTCCAGCTATAAGTCGAGTCGTATTGTAATATTCCGAATTCAACCAAATGAAACGTATAAGGTAGATAATACGTGGTAAAAGCTTGCTCAAGTCCGACGGGCTGGGGGCCACATCGATTTTAGAGCAAGGCTCGATCAGCAGGTGAAGAAACTTAATGTTGGACAATGCTTTAAGTAGCTCCTGCTTGGCCCTTTCTATAAGACCATCCATTTGTGACATGTGTACGGAATGGGCGTTACGCAACAATAGCAACACTTTCTGAACATCCGATTGAGCCAACTGGTCGTTGATTCCTTGAAGAACTTCATCTGAAAAGATAAATACAAATTATTTATTTTAGGTTAACATTTTAAAACTTTAAAAGACTGCGCTCATTTACGCCAGTTTCTCCCCTCTATTAAAAGCCAGTAGACCTGAGTCTATGATTTGGATTGGACTTTTATATAGAGTAACATCACTGTTTCACCATTTATGTTATAAAGATAAATTAATACGTTAATATAGATTCTAGAGCTGGATAAAATGAAAGCAATGTTAGGCTAGACCAACTCTCCTACTGATGCTGATTAGGAATGTAAATTAGGGTGGTCCAAATTGGTAGGTCAATTTGAAGCCCTAAGTTACAAAATTGGGTACAAAATATATATATTCTAACTGACATTTCGTGTCGCTTGAGTTATTTTTAAAAACACTTTATGACCAATGGGAAACGCATAAAACTTAAAATAAAATGTTTTGCTTTTCTATTTATTTATTACACCGATATTATCGATATTATATTTTACATTTCCAAACAATTGTATAGCCTACTTTTAGGCACCAAACAAAGAAGTTTTGGGGCTTTTGATGTGTTTAAATTTTTTTCAGATAAAAAATTTTAAAAAAAATCTCCTTTTGTTTTGGGTATAAGGAGCTTTAGCCAAAGAGTTGCACTATATCAAAATTATCATATTTCAGTAAAATTAAATTATTATATAGAGTCGGATTACCCGTAAAATCGATCTTTTTGGCACTTTTACGTCCTTTTTCTCGTAAACTGAAGAAATCAAGAAATTCCAAAGATGAGATCGTATTCAGCACACCGAAATTTATGAGACCAATGTATTTTTAAGGCTCTTGCACGGTGTAATCAATATAAATGTAACGTTTTAATGAAATCATAACGATTTAACTCACAGCGATATTCCCAAAACTCAAACTCATCCCGTACGGTGACTAGATCATGGGGAACCGTCAATGTGTCATCTCCCAGCAAAGTACGGATCTGTGTGGTCCAGTAGAGGGCGATGCCCTCCAGACTCCTGACCAACTGCCTGTCAACGGGTCCAGCCGCCAATTCCTTGATAACATAGGGCACATACAGCACGGCCACCCCAGAGATTTGGTGATGCATACCGGTGAGGAAGGCCAGGAATCTGTCCAGGCTGGAACAAAAACGATTTCGCACCGTGGCGTTCCATTCACTGTAGTTCCGAAAGAAGGGGGCGTACAAGCGATCCAGCAAATCCATCAAACATCCATCCACATCGCTCGTCAAGGTTCCAAAGTTCACTTCATCGTGGAAGCCCTCCACGCTAAAGATCTCATTCGGTTCCCGGCGAAAGTAGCTCAGGTCTGAAACACAAGTGGCGGGAATGCCCAGACAGGCGGATAGTGCATCTCTATCGTAGTATATGGTCAACAGAGGCTCGTGGACCTCCAGCAGCCAACGGCGGATAATGTCCAGGGCTCCCTCTTGCCAGTCCCTATGATCCAAGCAGCTCAACACACTCATGCGCTGTATGTACCCCACCAGCTGGTGCAGTTCCTCGTCGCCATACGAGGGTTTCGGGGTTTCGGGACGCAGCTCTTCCTGGCGCGGTACTACGCTGCGCTCTGGGATTTCAAAGTTGTGAGGCTTTGGAACGGAGGCATCGGCACCAACTCACCCTCATCATCGGTTAAATCCGAGTCGGTAAGATGCTCATCTTCTACAGCGCTGGAGGAGGCCATTTTACAGAGTTTTCACAGACCCAAAGCGCTAAGAAGTTTGTTAGGTAAAACAAATCCATGGCAACCGGAAGCCGGTTGTACCGATATTTCATAATGTGAGTTTGAATTCTGGAGTATTTTACAATATATAAGTTAGTAATTTCGGATCGTTGCTTTTTTATCCATAATTGCTATGGAAATAACTATTTTTCGTAAACGATTTATTTTTGTGGTTGTATAAAATAATAATAATAAATAAATAATAAAGTTTTAAATACAAACGTATGTGCGAGCACACTAAAAATTATATTTGTTCAGGGGTTTTCAAGGTTTCAACGGAAAATAGGTTTTAAAGACTGGGTTATGATATAACAATGTTGTTCTTATTCATTGGATCAAATAAACGTTAGTGTTAGTAAGACAGACATAAGGCAACTTATTAGAGCGTTGAATGTTAAAAAATAAAAAAGTACTAGATAGATTTTATTACCGGGTTGTGATGGTAAAAAAAAAAACTAGTCGACATGTTTACTTGGCAGACATCGATTATTTTTAGTTCTCTAGAGAAAACCAAACAAACAGTTTCGGACTTGGTTTGTTTCTTAAATTGCAAAGTTCGGCAAGCCAAAGTTCATATACCCTTGCAGCTATTTCAAAAATTAAATATTCTTAAAAACTTTAAAATAATGATTTACTTGCATATACATATGCTTAAAAACATTGAAGCAATAATGATTTGCAGTTCAATTATTCGATAGTTTCTATGGCAGCTATATGATATCGCGTTCCGATTTTAATAAAATTAAAAGCGTAATTCTGAAATGTCAAATTATTAATAAGAAATTAATACAAGAATTAAAAAAAAAAAATACAAAACCGGAGTTACATTTAAAAAAAAAAGTTTCCCAATATTCTTATTGTTCCCATGGAAGCTTTATGTTATAGTCATCCGACTTTGATGAAATTGAAACCGTAGCAGTATTAATTAATGTCGAAGAACTAAAAAAAAAAATTAAAAAACATCAATGTTATAATTTTTTCAAATTTATTTTTCCGATTGCAATGCAAAGACAACTTTTGGGAAAGTTTCATGCAGATAGCTTTAAAACTGGGAGACTAGACAGACGAACAGATGGACGGACAGACGGACAAACGGACGGGCAGACGGATATGGCTAGATCGACTCTCCTAGTGATGCTGATCCTAAATATATATACTTTATAGGGTCGGAAACTTCTGGCTAAAAGTATAGTACCCTCTGCAAGGGTATAAAAACACAATATTCGTCGACATACAGGATATATCGCTGCATCCTGGTTGATACGATTTCCTTAACGAAGAAAAAAAATCAAACAAATTCTTCATAATTTTTCACCAATTTTTTCGACTTTTTCGAATATTTTAAGAAATCAAAATTTTTTTAAGTCCGAGGCAGACGCGATAGAGAGTATTATAAACAAGATATATACCAAACTTCAAAGGAATCGATTCAATAGAATTAGAATATCAAATAAAGTAGAAAAACGTGTTTAGAGTTAAGGCAACATTTATAATGGCTCGAAAGCAACGTCACAAAATCGGCTGAATCTCATAAAATGATTCAAATTTTGAAAAATCTGTAAGGGATCATATTTTTAAAAGTCTAAACATTCAAAAAGAAAAACAAGAAAACCAAGGTTTTTTCATTATAGTCGATTTTTCTGATCCGACAAATCTATGCTCTGCCAACTCCAACTTCAAAAATTTTAAATTTGGTATTCGTTTCGCCGGTACCTGGCGTACGTTCACCCAAAGAAATCTGGCAACGCCATGCAATTTTCTGGTATTTTTTTTGTCGATCTTTGTACCGGGGTGAGAAAAGGCACTGATGAATAGTGTACTCCGGCTATTTCTCTCTCGCTCTCTCTCATAGCTGACGAACGAATTTCGTCGATCTGAGTAAAAGGCCTTATATGGGAATACCTTTAATGCTTGGCAATTTACAAGTAGCCCAGTTTGGCCACACCAAGCGCACTTTTATTTAAAACCGCTACTTTAAAAAAGAAAAAACGTTTGGAAATGGCACTTTCGGCCGAAATGGAGAAGGTAATGGGCCAGGGCAACTGCCTGATGCCCGATCTAAACATTTCGCTGGGCGATATGACCAATCCCACTGAGGGCACTGTCACCAAGATCATGGTCCACTATCTGAGATGTTTTGGTTTCCGCCTGGATCCGCCTTATAAGTCTGGCTGCGAAACCGCCTTCGCGTCGCGGGAGGGTCGGGTCTTCCTCATCCGGCTCTGCCGCCAAGTGGAGCGCATCATACAGATCAGCTTTCCCAACAAGACCTACACCTATGTGGACATAATGAAACCAGGTGTGTCTTTAGTGTGTTTTAAAATCGCTATATCGGATAAAACCGATTCTATTTCTTTTGATAAGGAAAATACCTATGAAAATCTAAGAATCACTTTTATGTTTTGATACTAAATTAACAAATATCTAATGTGTAGACTAGTTATCTAGTCTGATCATTACTTTTCCCTCATAATTCTCTATTTTTTACCTCAATCTAAAGATCAATCCTTAATAATCGTCTATAATTTCTCTTCGCATGACAGCTGTCAAAAAGACACTCTCCACTTTGAGCTATCTGTTCAATTACTTAGCCTACTACAAAGTGTTCAAGAAGAACGTCCTGGGACCCGTGGAGGAGGCCATCAAGCTGAAGGACTCGCTGACAGCCGAGATCAAGGCCAAGAGCCAGCAGCTGGAGCAGCGCAGGCAGAAGGCGGACAGTGTGGAAAACGATACGCGGGATTGCGAGGTGGCCATCGACCAGCTCCAGAAAGAACTGAAGGATAGTCAGGCAAAACTTCATCAATTGAGGAAATCCTTCAGCGAACAGAGCAATGCTCTGGAACTCCTCGAGCAGCAACAGATGGAGCTGGACAAGCGCATCGGTCACTGGGAACAGCTGGTCGTGGAGGACGGTCAAGTGATGGAACTGACAAAGTGAGTGGTGCCGGGGCAGCCTGGAGTTCCTTTTGCTCAATTGTTTCATTCATTGTAGGAAAATCAAGAGCGCCTGCTCGCACGTCGAGAGCTGCAAGGCCGAGCTGGCAGGCAAGAAGCAGGTGACCAACGATCATCGCCAGGTTATAGAAGCCAGCCAGGAGGTAGTCACTGCTCTGGAGAAGGCCACCGCCGTACTTACTACCATCAAAGTGGAGGACTATACGGAGAGCTCCAAGAAGCTAGAGACAGTGGAGAAGCAAGTGTCCGCCTTGGAGGCCAATTACCAAATGCGTGGCCTGGATTCGGAGGTCAAGAAGCAAGAACTCTCCTCTTGCGACCAACAGTACGACGCTCGAAAGCATAAGCACGATGTCGAGGGTCAGAAGCTACAAAAGCAAATTGAAATGCTGCAGGACGAACTGGAGGAGGGCAAGAATCGCATCGATGACCTGGGCACCGTCCTGCAAGAGCTGAACCAGCGGAATTTGGGCCAGCACCAGTTGCAGGGCATTTTGAGTGAGCGGCTCCGCGAGGCGCTCGGTGAAATTTGGCAGTTCGGTTCCACTTAATATACTGATTTTATTCTATAAACTGCAAAACAGCTCAGCTCGTTTTTATGGTTAGGATTGAACAAGGGGGTCGCCGGTTTACGTCTCCATCTTCTTGCTCTCCAGATGAGCCTTCAACTGCTGGCTGAAGTCGTCCTCCACATTGTCGTCGTCCCAGTTGTCTTCCCACACATTTAGCTCTTCTTCGTCGTCGCCGACGCGGAAATCTACGTTAAATCCATTAGAAAAACTCGGTTTGACAGTGAATATACCCTAATACCTTCGGCGGGAAACTCTTCGAACTCATCGTCCTCCTCCAGCAGACCCAAATCCTCGCCCTTGTTGTTGGTCTCCTCCTTCTCTTTCTCCTTTTCTTTATCAGGTGCCGACATTTTGTGTTTTTTTATTAATCGAATAGCGTTTGAATTATATTTTTGACGCTTTTTCCTTTTTGTTGCCAAAATGATGCCTAGTCACTTCTCATAGAGCTGGACCAACCACTCGCGATAGAATCGCTAATTTGTATCGATATATCGATAGACAATCCAATAGTGTATGGTGCACAAAAATAATATGGATATTCTCTAAAAGACTGTGGGTCTTATAGCCTAATTCCACTGGCGCATTGGTAGACTTTTTAAATATGCCTGCTTGTGTTGGTATAATTTTGCTCTTTTTCCAATTTGAAGGGACTGTTTAATGCGCAGCAATGCTTTCGAACGACAAGGGAGATGTAAAAAAAAACCGCAATGACGCAATGAAGCAACCCAAGTGCAACTAGGCCCTAAGTCAGGTTGGAATTACCTTTTCTTAAGAAATTATACTGTTTTTTATTAGCATATTTGCTAAAGTATTATAAAATTAAAAAGTGCTGTCAAGTAATTTCAAAACAAAAATAAAAATATTTCATTACCTAAATATTTCATCTCACATATTTTTTACATAGGTATGGTATTAAGGTATCAAAAAATTGTACCTAGGTATAAACCAAGGTACAAGTATGTAGGTACACCCCAACACTGGCCGTATATGGTGACACTGACGAAATATCTTATTTTTTTTTTCTTCACATTTTTTGGGTGGATCGTCAAAACATAAACAACGTCAAAAGGTCAATCATCTTTGTTTATGTTTTGATGAGCTACCGTGGTTGAGATCACTGTTGGCAAAATAAGTTTAAGGGGATATCCCAGTAACTTTTTTTTTTTAAATCAATTTTTTTTTTGCCTAATCGATAGTTTACAATTTTTAATATATCCTGAGAAAATAGTTTTTCAATGTCAGCGTTCTAAAGAGCGACCGCTCGCAGGCATACACCGCGGCACCTGAAACTTTAACCGCGTTTATCTCGAAACGACATTTTAAAAAACTGCTGAAATAATTACTCGACTTTAAGTTGATCGGTTTCAAATGCATTGTACCTACAATGTTATACAAACTTTTGGACTGGTTAAAAATTGTCCATTTAACAGAATTTAAAAAATCATTTTTTCACCCCAAAAACTCCTTTTTTTTAAACCGATGCCATTTTGTAAATAATTAATCTGTTTTAAAGATCGAAGGTCGTTGTTCGGGAAATATATTTAGCTTTCATTATATTTTTAAATTTATCGATTTCTCGGAAAAAAAAAAACAAAAAACATAAATTAATAATGAAACTTAATCTAATTATTTGCAAAAAATTTTAAAACATTCTATTAGGTACTTTTTTTAAAAAATGAAATTTTAAATATCTTTTTCGTTAGTTACACTGATATATCCCTTTAAGTACACTTTGCACTGAAATTCCTTATGAATTTTTCGTAAATTAAAAGTCAACACCAAAGTAAGTAAAAGGTGCTACACATTTTGGTTTTAAGTTAAAGAGGTACCACATTTTTGTTTAAACTTCCCACACCTCATAAACACGCAATTTAAAGACTTCTGTGAACCGGAAAAATTTATTTAGCAAAGCAAATATTTAAATTAATTTTGTTCAACTTAATAATTTTTAAGAGCAATAATCTACTTGTAAATATTCAAAAGTTAAACAGTACTTTAACCTTGTTTTAGTGACGATATTAATCAGTACACCTTTTGGAAATGGCTTTGATGAATAGCTGCTTTGCTATTAAATATTTTCAGGTCCATAGTAGCAATAAAAATAGTTGGTTTTTTATGCATTTAATGATTTGTATAACATTTTCACTGTTGGCTATTTGACTGTCAAGCTAAAAGGATTATTGAGCATTTGGATTTTAAGCTACATTTAATTTAACTGTTGCTGCTGGTTGGCTATTTTAAACAAGTAGAGCAAAAATGTACGTTACTTTAACATTAATAAATATATATATTATATTCTTATAGGTTTGCATATTGTTTCTGTTGCTGAGTTGCTGTGTTTTGATTTATTGCGATAGCGAACTTTCAGTGTAACTCTATTTCTTGGGTTGGATTTCGTGCTGTCCGAAGTGTAATGAAAATAAAAAAAATATTTCGCAATTCGAATTCGCACATTCGTTCACTTAATTTTAAAAATTTGGTATGCCAAAATATATACTCCTTTTGTTGTTTTGTTAGTCTCAGTATCTAGTTTACATTTAAATATAACTGTAGTTCAACATTTAACATTTAGTTGTTGCGGACTGCAAATCTACATAATTAAATAGTTTGTTTTGATTTCATTTGTTTGCTTTTAGTCTGCGAATGTTATATATGAGGAATAAAACACCATACATTTGATTAGTAATATTGTTGATCAGTTTTGTGTGTTGTCTCGGGCTCTCCATTCTTCTTCTCCTCTCTCTCTCTCTCTCTCTCTTCTAACGTTATTATTCATCACAGATGCTCTACGCACAGATCAAATTAAATTCAATGCAATTATTATCATCATTTAACAATTTGTTACAAGCTCCGATTTTGTCCATAATTGCTGTAGCTTAATGGAGTGACAAGTTGTAAGGACATTCGTGAGTTCGGGGTGCTTATTGGACTGGACTATCCCTAAACAAGAGCACGTCCTGCTGCTGCCAGCCCATTTGAGTAGTGTTCGTTTAGATTGTGTGGAGAGTGGTTAATTCTATTTAGTTTTATAAGATAAAACGAAAGCTTTTCTAGAAAAAGTGTTGTATCACATATAGAGGAAGTGTTAAATATGTATTCTTTTGTTTTCCATTCGGGGTCGCCAACTGTTTGCTTGCTTTAAGTCAACAGTTCGTAACAAATTATTGACTTATTAAATAGTTCAGGATATATGTTTAAATAGAATAAAATCAAACAGCTTAGCCTCAATAAAATGCTTTAAAGTAAATACAAGTACATAAGCAGTTGTGTTACCATTTTTGATTTCAGTCACCTTTAAGGTTTATATATAAAAGTGATTGAAATTAAATATAGAACCGATTTTCTGCTTTCGATTTTAAAAAAGAGCACCAACTAACTTACGCTTAAACAATAATTTAAAAAAAAATTTCAAACATGCTGGAGGGGAAATACATAGTTCTAACAATAAATACATTGAGAAAAAGTATAACAGCTAAAAATATGTTATAAATACTTAGCATAGCTTAGCGTTGTTGGGACATGTCTGTGTGTGTTTCACTGTTTATATTTACTTTTAAAACGCTAGGCGTTCTCTAACGGCTTACATTTTTGTTTCGTCTCGCGCTTACGAACTACATAAATACACATCGAACATCAAAAATATGATAGCATATATATATTTATATGCACGGATAATGGGGTGGCTCGAACTTTTTTTGGCGGAAAACTGCCGAAAAGAATTTTATAGTTTACGAAATTTCGTTCATGGATACATAGACCTTAACCATTTAGTACTTTTCATTTTAAACTTTTTAAATGGGGATTTTAATTCCTAAAAAATGTTTAAGCTTTAATGTGCCTAAGAAAACGCTTGTCAAACAAAGCTGCCAACAAACTACATCCGGTTCTATAATTGGGCCAAAAAAAAAATTGAGCCACCTCAATTTGCACACATGACTAATAAAAATGTTTCAATACGTAATACACAACAACGAGAATTACTCGCGACGAGTTCTCTTTGGACGTGAGGCGGCAATCGAATCTCCTCCTGGCGACGATAATGCCATGGATGCTCCTCCAGTACCTCCTGAGCCACTGCCACCTCCACCACTGACTCCACTATGAGCCCCGTCCCCAGAACTCGACGAAATTGTTGTGATGGTGGCTGAAATTGTGGCCGATTGCTTTTCCACTCCTCGAACTTTTCGGGAGGCCACCGACTGGGCGGTGACTTGGAGAGAAATCGCATGAGTGTTGAGCTTTTCGGCCAGCAAAAGATCCTTCAGACCCTTCATCTTCTGGCTGTACAAAGTGATTACTGGCCTTTTAAGCATTATCTCGAAGGGATCATAATCGTCACTTGCATCCTCGTTTTTAGCTTCTTTGTGCTGTGGTTTCCCCAGTTGGGTATGTGGTTGATGAATGGATTGTGCTTGGCCAGTGTTACTGGCCTCACTAGAAACAGGCAACTGGACTAAGGTTACACTGCCATTGCTTGCTCTTGTTGTGGTAACTGGAGCCTCCTTTTTGTCGGAACTATGGTTGTTGTTACTGCTGTTGGTATTATTGTTGTTATTGCTGAGCTCTGGGACATCGGATTCCCCGACAGAAGGTTGTTGCTTCTGATCGGCAAAGGGTTGACCACCGCCCTGGAGCAGGAAGTCTGGATTCAGAATCTTCTCGCCGCACGCTGCAGTTAAATCGGCCAAAGTTGTTGGTAGCTCCGAATTTTTTGATTTCTGGTAAAAGAAAAATGCATTTGTTAATTTATAGTAGTTTAAAAGTATATTTTAGTGAACAAATGTGGTAGTTGCTTCTTAAGCGCGTTACTCGTAGAGTAGAAGGGCATATTGTATTCGATGAAAAGTATGTAAAAGGTAAAAGGAAGCGTTTCCGACCCATAGAGTATATGTATTCTTGATCAGGATCAATAGCCGAGACGAAGGAGGTCGTCTGTCCGTATGAGCGTGAAAATCTCGAAAACTTTAACTATTAGAAGTTATTTAGTTAGAAAGCTCTCTGCCTCCACTCTGCCGCTGCTCGGCCGCTGCTTTGCCAGCAAAACATTATCCCATGCTTATTAGATAGGGCTGTGGTGATCGCTGATGTAGAGAAAGAAGCTTGAGCTCAGTGTTGGCAATGCAATTCGACAGAAGGCGCCACATAGACCGGTATATTTTTTGTTAATGAATGTTAATGAATATTTAGTTTGAAGTTTGTTAGCTAAGTAACGGGTTTCCTATACTCGGGGAACTCGACGATAATTTTTCGTTTTGTTTGTTATTGATCCAAGTGGTATTCAAATTTTAAAACAATTTTATACTGGACTATCATGGTATGTTGTGACCAATCTATCTTCTGTCATTATAAGTTATCTAAAATACATTTCAATATAAACTACATACAGATTTTTACATTTTGTAGCATTGAAAACAAAACGGTAAGAATTCTTGAAAAACGTTTATTTAGTTAATATAAATTCTTCCTTTTTTACTAGAAATTTAGGAACTTAATGGTCAGGTTGTCGTAGCGCCTGGGTGCCTGACTTTTTACCACCAATTTCAATTATAACAACGAGCGTAAACCTTGAACCTCCTAACTATGACACATTTGGCAAGGATAACCAAAACCAAACCGACCCAAAATGTGCAAGATGTGTTTGTACAGAAAAGTGAGATGATCTCCATAAGAAACCTGCTCGTGTTCTTTAATAAAACACTAGATTGCGAATTGCTGAGCATGGACGACCTAAAAACAGGGGCAGTATACTGCCAGGTCATGCATAGGCTCTTTCCAAAGTCAATTCTTATCGAAAAAGTCAAGTTTTATACGCACAGCAAAGTCGAGTTCAAAACAAATTTTCGGCTGTTGCAAAACAGCTTTGAAAAGCTAAAAGTAACGCGGTATCTTCCGGTGGAAGAATTAATTTTGGGGCACAGTCACTATGACCTTTGCAACTGGATGTACAAATTCTTTCAAACCAACGATAATGGGCGCGAATACGATGCCAAAAAAGTTAGGAAAAACTCGGCCATCGGCCTCAGCAGAGGTCCCAAGTTCGTTGGTATGACACGCAATGCCAATGCCATGCAAAAGTGTCAGTCGATGAACTTTAATCATATTAAAGATCCGAACAAGTACGAAAGAAGAAGTTGCTTGGGTAGTATAAGCTGTGATCGTATCAATTTCAAAAAGACTTTGCCGGACAAGCAAATTATAAAGCAGAAGTCCAAGCCGCCGCCAAAGAAAAGCTCAGTTTTTTTGGAATTTCACCCAGAGAGCAAGTACGTGCCCCTACCTTCGGAAAGCGAAGATGAGCTGAATTTGGGAGGTCAGCAATCTTTTCGGCAAAACAAGATTTTGGACAAACTCAGTTCTGAGGAAAAGGTTTTGACACGGGCATTTTTCACAATCGAGATGACAAACAAGAATGGTCGAGACTCCACAAGTTTTAAGTCTTTGAAAGCTCTGAGCAACAAGTGCAAACAGTACATAATTGATCTTCATACCAAGGTTCTTATTATCGATGATTTAAAATGCAAGATACGTAGTTTGGCCAAAACGATAAAAGAGCTTACTGAAAAGTTTAAGAACATGGAACAAGTGTTAATCAAATACGGTGACAATCCGACGTGTGCTGTTCAGAAAATTAAGAACATCCTCTTCATGAATCCCCAAATGGCGGCAGTACCTCTGAGAAGACCACATAGAAGAGGGGATTTTAAAGAATCATCCCATTCTGAGGAAAAGGCTTTCACAATAGAATTTTCAAACAATCCGAAGAGTCTTCGGTCTCTGAGCAACAAGTGCGATCACTACATAAGTGATCATCAGACCAAGGTTCTTATTATCAATGATTTAAAATGCAAGATACGTCGCTTGGACACAAAGCTAAGAGAGCTCACCGAAAAATGGAATAATATGGAACACATATTTATCAAATACAGTAACAATCCAACGTGTGCTGTAAAGAATATGAAAAACATCCTTTTTATTGATCCCCAAGTGGCGGCAGTACCTCCGCGTGGACCCCATGAAAAAGGGGAAACTAACCATGATGCAGCATCCCATTTCAAGGTTCAGCTAATCAGGGAAGGTAGTTTTATAAAACACCAAACGATGCCTCCACGTCGTAGCAAAGAAACGAAGACGTGCATCGAATTTGTATCCAAAAAGTCTTATGACAGAGATCCAAAATCCCCAGATTCTGTAGACTCTTTCAACGATGATCCAAGGCACAATCATATGAACCGTTTGAGCAACGATACGACGATACTCAATTGCCAAGGGCATTGTCATTCCAGGCTTAGGCACTATTCGAAGAATTATGCCAGACATGCATTGGACTCATTGGTCGAAGATGAACATCATACCAGGCGCTCTAGATCTCCAGTCGGCATGTATTGCTGCCATATTGGGGATTGGACGGACATGCCCGCAGGTCACCAGGATAGACGATGTTCCGAGGAAAGGGATTTATGCATTGCAAAAATTGTAAACATAAAAAGTCCAACTCGGATTCCTAAGATGGTAAAGTCACATGGTTGTAATATTGATATTGAATAAGAAGCAATAAAACCATTTAAATGTTTTTCAATAGAAAGCCACAAGTTGATCTTTCTGAAATATTTTATAGTTATTTTAAAGTTCCTTAAACTTGGACTTCAAGAAGGATGTTTATAAACAACAAACTGCGTAAAACAAAGCAGTTGTTCTAAATTTCTGTTACGAATTATCAAATTAAATTAACATTTCTGCCTTTATTAAAAATTTAAGTAAGAAGAGTTTATACTTTCGAATGAATTTGTTTTACTGCGTTTTCTTACCTCTTCCTTTTTCAGCAGCGTATTGTTATTTCCCTCCAAAGTCTCAGATCCCGTGGCTTCCTTAGAGTCCTTAGCTTCCCTAGCTTCCTGTTCACTGCGGGCCTGCTCCGCCTTAGCTTGTTCCGCCTCCAGATCCTCGGGCAATTTAATGACCACCTGGGATCGTATGTCATAGTCAAACTTGGTGATATTATTGACCAGCGGTTTGGCCCAACCAATATGCAGGATGGGCGTTAAGCTGTCCTCCTCCCATTGGCAGATGCCGTCGTAGAAGCGCAGTAAATTTGCGAAGACCTCGGAGTCTCGAAGAATACTTCTCGCCGAGTGGCCCGAACTCTCGGTTTTCATCACATAGGGTATCAGCTCGTTCGCAATGTCCAGAAGCTCTTTGTAGATCTCCTCGTCATCCCGGCACTGGTACGTGTACAAACGGATCACATCCGCCGCATTTGCCCATGCGGCAAAAGCGTCCCGGTACTTAAGCAATCGGTTGTAGTAGTTCCCCTGGTAGGTATACGGATACACGTGATGGTTCCGGTAGTGAGTCCTCGCCGACTCTATGGCTTCGCGGTAAAGCTGCTCGCAACTGATGCTCGAATGCGTTCGATGGATCTCTTCCAGCTCACCAAGAGTACCCAGAGCCATCGGATAGCGCTTCAGGTGTCCCAAGTCGTACAGCAGCCACAGCAGTTGTTGCTGGAGCTCGGCCACCTCCACGCAGTCGCTGTTCGAGGTCAACGAGATATTAAGAGCGGCACAAATGGCCGCCACTTCCATACCACGCTCGCAAATCACCGCCAGCCCACCTTTATAAAAGAGAAAGTATAGTGATAAAAACGCTATCAGTGGGATGAATATAAAGGAATTAAATACCCTGCAGACCTTTTAATATTTATAATACCCTTGCTATTATACCCTTGCAATCTAATCTAACTGAATGAAACTTTCACACAAGAGCAAGGTAATGTAAGGTCCGCTCACGATTAGTGAATTTATTTTCATATAACTTTAGAAACCATTTTTTTGTGTGTTTTTAGTATATTTCCAGCATGAATAACAAAAAAACGACACGTCATGATGTTCAGTGAAATAGCAGTGTTTATACGGGTATGACACTACATTGGTCGCCTTATTCATTGACGGATTCATTAAAGCTCAGAGACAGAGACAAATATATGGATACTGCTTGAGATGTTTTTGGTAATAAGTTCACGGTCATACTGCCTTTTTAACGTTAAATTCAAACGATATTGTTTTGTTTATTATATTGTGTTTATCCCGCTAATTTTAACGTTTAAATTTTTATCAGTTGTTACCATTAAATGATAACAAATATTTCGTATACATTTAAGCCTCGCATTCTTATTCCGTTTTGTCGTCAACTCCAACGAGCAAAATTGTACTTTTTAAACACAATTTTGCATTCAAATAGTATTTTTGTTGCCCAATTCCGTCGAGTATTTCGGGTTCTGACAATTTTCTTCATTCATTGCTCATTGGAATCGTCATACGTTTGTCTTGTTCGCACTTACGTAAAATCGTATAGTTTAAACATGAATGAGGCAAACAATGTAGTGTCATAAGCCCATTACGGAAAAAAGCACATACGTTTAATAACTGTTTCAAAAACTAACTAAAACTAAATAATATATTTATTTATTGCCTAATACTTTGTTGTGTATCCTTAATTGGGTATTACTGTCTCGCATCTAGGTCACATTGAGTCGACCAAGTCCTGGCATTGTTTAATGGGAACCTGCGCCCAATCCTCTCGAACAACGTCCCAAAGCATTGTCTTCGAAGACGGGGATTGCTTTGAGACATAGAGTTTGATGTCCCCCCAAAAGTTTTCTACCGGATTTAGATATGGCCGTATATTCTTATTTAATTTGCTGGTGGTTTTGGTTTTGGATCGTTATCCAAATGGAATGCCCATTTTAGGGGCATATTCTTAGTGGCATATGGCGTCATAACGTTAGACAATATGTCAACTTAAAAATGTTGGTCCGTAATCCAATCAATAAAGTGTATTGGGCTTTAGATAAACAGGCCCACACCAAAATTTTAAGGCAACCGTTCATTACTGTCTTGACCGAATGATTTAAAAGGTACTCCGTGCTTGGTGGTCGATGGACATACTGTCTACAAGGATATTCAAATTTTCTGCACTGCTATTTCCATGAACAAAGATGTATGTATCTTTGTTTTTTTTTATACAAAACTAAATCAGGCTCCCTAAAGAAGGCGACATATGTAGTTTGCCGAAACTCGTATTATAAAATCATTACTAAAATTTTTTTTATTAACGGAGAGAAGCAATGGCCAAATAAATTATATCGGATCATACGATTATTTAAAAAGAAAAATCGAAAAAATAATATTAAGAAACTAATGCTTCCAGCATAAGATTATATCTTTATGAGAAAATGCATCTTTGATTTGGCCAATGCTAACAACATTTTGGACATCTAAACAAAAAAAAATTCACCAATTCGCTAAATAATGCTGTTGGCTGTTAAAACATATTATATTATAATATTTTAAATTCGAGTATTTTGAATAAAAACTCAATTTTTTTCGTTTTTAAAGGTATTAATTGTTGTAAATGTATCTTGTTCCTTAAAATTAATTAAATAATTTAATTTAAAAATTTAAATAGCCTAAAAATTTCTAATCTCCTACCGTTTACTTTAATTGCAATTGGTCATTAGTGTTTAATGTTTGAAAAGGCCATGTTTTACGTCATTAGTTTAAGCTTACCTAAATATAGCCACGATCCGGATTCAATTCCCGGGCGAATATCCTGCCCCCGCTTATCCTCGCTGCCCTTGCCGTGCCATGTCACCTCGATGGTCTCCACCCGCTTCTGGCCAAATACCACCCAGGCATGATCTTCTGAGATGGCCAATCTGACGTCTTTGTAGCCGAGCAACTGGCAACCCGCAACCACTGCCAGAGCTACGCCGAAACAGTCCAATTTGTTTCCGAACAGATAGCTGTAGAGGTTCTGCAGATGTGCCCGATCCTTGTAGCTGCTGCGGATTAGCGAGTTCCAGATCACGTCAGATACTTTCTTGATCACCTCGCGGGTGGCCTGGCGGTGGGGCTTTGGCTTCTCCACCACCGACAGGATCGTCTGGAACTTTTTGTACAGCCCAGCGATCAGCTCATGAGTCACTACCGGAAAGGGGACGCCCATTATGACGTCCGTTGCGCCTGCATAAGGTAAAAGATAACAAGTTTGGTGGTTTTATTTCATTTGATTTGCTGTCATAAAATTCAAATTAAATTATACAATTTTTAGCACGAAAGTCCAGAAAAATTCCAAAATAAATTTTTTTAATTTTATTTTTGCGATACACAAACATTACACATTATAGACGTAAGGAAATTTAAAAATTAAATTGAAAAATATGATCTTTTTGACGATCCAATTTATATAAATCATTTTACATTAAAATATTTTGCATATTTAATAAGCTATTTGCGATAATTAATTTTCATGATGACAAAGATTTTAAAATCAGTTTTGAAATCGTAAAATAATGTATTTATCTCTCTTAATCGACGATTTATGATATGTTGTTCGGTTTCAATTTTTTTGTATTGTATATTATAAACTTCGGCTTGCTGAAGTTTGCTTCCTTTCTTGTTATTTACAATTTCCTCTGCAGCGAAGTGAAGAAATTAGGAATTTAAAAGTGCTGTAAAATGTGTGCCATTAACCCAAACAGGGCCCAGAAGCGATTCCAATTTGTATGCAATCGCTTCCGTTTTAACTGGTTTCCGTTTGCTAAATGGTTAACGGTGAACGCAAGCGGTAAAGGCAACGGGCAAATACACACCTGTCGCCGCTTGACTGATGTCCCCTGCTGCGGCAGCGGCAGCGGCTGCTTGAGCGGCCTGCGCAGCAGCCTCTCCAGTCGTCAAAGACAGCTCGATGTAGCCAACCACAATGGAGAGCAGGGTGAGGTCGGGCTCGATTCCAGAGGTTAGAGCGCGTCGGAATAGATTTACCACATCGGCCGTGGACTTCAGAGGGAACAGGCTGGCATCGATAACGCCATTGAGCGCCATGGGACTAGCACTGGCGCTTCTAGTAATCGTGGACATGGTTGCAATAACGTGCAGGACCTTAAGACCTCGAAATGCAATACTAAAAAACATAGAGAATAATATATAACAATTTGTTTGAAACGTTAAAAATTATTTTTAGTAAATAACACCCTTACTATAAGCTAATTTAAAGGAGCTTGTTCAATACTCTTTATCAACATGTTATGTTACAATTTTAGTTGAACTCGTAAAATGTATTTTTTATAGGAAGTAAGATGGGTTTCACGGATTAAGCACCAACACTTTTTAAAACATATTTGTGGTATTGTGTTTGTGGAGATACATTTTTACAAACTCTCATTAAAATTTTGGTTTTCCGTTTTATAGTCTCTTAAATATAAAGTAATTCATAATTTCAAAAAGTATATATACACATTGTCATGTAGAGACAATAAAAACAATCGGAAAAAAAAAATGTAAAATATCGAAAATGCAGCGTAAAAACAACATAACTTCTTTGCTTTCAAACATAAACGAAACAAATCTAAAAATAGTAATTTAATAAAATATTTTTATTTTTTTTAAAAGCTGTCAATGCTTACTTCCAATAATTCAAAGACCAGAAATGTACGGCTAAATACGAAATATTTTGGAAAAATTAAACTATAGTGAAATGTGCAAGTTGATATCAAAACATTTAGGAAATTTTGTATAAAAAAAACGTTTTTTTGTTATCGTTATAGTCCGTGGACGTCCTCTATACTAGCCCTGGTTTCTATCTTAAGTTAATATGAAACTTGCTTATAATATGATTGCCATAATTATTTGACGAGTGAAAAATTCTTACCCAAAACTAGTTGCCTCGTTCTGTTCAATGGACAAAGTGCTTTTAACGATTAGTTATAATCCCGCGTCGTGTTTTATGATGTTCTGCCAGTTCTAATAAGTCCTTAAAATTATTTAATATTAGTTTAGGTCCCTTTAGTTGCGAAATACTTGATACATACCCAAGTTTTTTACAGAATGCGCGAGAAATCTAGAGTCCGTTCGTGACCCCTTATGTCCTTTATACCCTTTTTCTTCACATGAGAATAACGGAACATGTTTAATTACATACGAAGAACAATGAAAAGAATGTGATAATTACCAAATAGATTCATTTATTTTCCAACTGTTTCTGGACCGCAATTGATGAGCTTTGACAGAAATAAGAACCAATATTTGAAAACGGCCACAAAACGTTAGGGCTGACAAGCTCACCCAAGTGGCAAGTTTGGGCCTTTTTCCACCTGCTCCGTTTTTAAGCTCCTTATTATCCTGCTGATGGCCTGGGACTTTCGCCTGGTTTTGCCCGATGCAGAATGCAGGGTTTTTGTTGCTGCTGCTGCTGCTGCTGCTGTTTGTACAGCCAGCCAGTTTGTGGCTGCAACATTGGCAACAAGTTGACAAACAACTTTTTGTCGTTGTCGCACCTTCTTGGCCCTTTTTCCGCTTATTTATTTTCTCCTTTTCTTCGCTTTGTACTTTTAAGAGCAGGATTTCTGTTGCTGCTTCACTTGCACTTCTCATTTGCAGCAACAACAATAACAACTGGTTTTCTGCATAGATGTGAGTGCATGCGTGTGTGCAGCATGCATGTGCACTGCAAAAATATGTATATATCCTGTGGGCCCTGCGTCCTTCGTCCACGTCCACGTCATCAATTAATCGGCTCACGGGGGCAGGTGAATTTCTCGCACCTTTCTTTCACTCGCTTTTGTTGTTGCTGCTGTTTTCGGTTTCGTGTGTTTTTTTTTTTTTTTTTTGTCGACCCGCCACCCTCCGATTTACATATTTTCCACTTGACACGCAGTTCCCGTTTGCCGCCCGAATTCGCCGATTATCGCATCGCACTCGATTTTATTTTGACTTGGGCATTATCTGTGCCTATTTTGGCACCAATGGGATAGGCTTATTGCGCGGCAGGACTGGTAACAACAAAAACCAGGTGAAATTCCGACGAAATATTGCGTTGTTGTGTTTACCTCTCTGCGCCAGTGTTGCATAACCTGCACGTGTCCATACGGGAGTAGTGCTGCAAAGCGCTTCCATGTATTAGTACTTTGGTACTTTTGCGGTATTTTAATGCTATTCAACTCTGAGTAATAACGTTTTTAGACTAGTCGCATCACTAGCTAGCACTTCAATAGCAAACACAGGTCGGCATTTATAAATCATTTAGGGTATTCCCTAAACAACTGAATCTCTGAATTGCTGATATGTGGTCAACTGTTCCATAAAAAGTCAACTGGCTAAAATTTAACCAGATCAGCAACCAAAGACCGTTTTACGATGTAGTTGAACACCCAGATTCATAAAATTAGACACAACATTTTCTTTTGATACATTTTGTGACTTATTTTAAAAGTGTGGTTTACGTTCTTGAAAAAAAATTTGATTATTACCGATGTTTACTAGATATCTTTGGCATATCGATATATCATCGTGGGCAACTATCACATCTAACGACCGAAAACAATAAGAACAGTAAAGGAAGCAATATATACCCTTGCAGCTATTGCACAAATTAAATATTCTTAAAAACATTAAAATTATGATTAACTTGCGTATATGTTTTAAAACATTGAAGCTATGATGAATTGCAGCTCAATTATTCCATAGCTCCTTTGGCAGCAATATGATATCGTTATTCGATTTTAATAAAATTAAAAGCCTAATTCAAGACTCTCAAATTATTAAAAGGTCAAAAACAATTTTTTTAAGAAAATTAAAAAATAAAAAAGTTAGTTAAAAAAATTTTTTTTTTTAAATATTTTTTATTGTTTCCATGGGAGCTTTATGTTATAGTCGTCCGATTTTGATGAAATTTAAACCGTAAGTCTGAAATATTTAATTAATAATAAAAAAGAAATTAAAAAACAGCAAAGTTATAATTTTATTATGTAATTTTACCGATTTTTCCTATGGGAGCTATATGCTATAGTCGTCCGACTTATACACTACCTGCAATAGAAAACCAACTTTTGGGAAAGTTTCATGCAGATAGCTTTAAAATTGAGAGACTATCTTGAGTAGAAACGGACGGACAGGAGTACAGACGGGCATGGCTAGATCGACCCTCCTAGTCATGCTGATCAAGAATATATATACTTTATAGGGTCGGAAATTTCTCCTTCATTGCGTTGCAAACTTCTGACTGAAATTATAATACCCTCTGTATAATAACAAACGCACAATGAGTGGGGCATTTGTTGATGCAACGTCGTGACTTGATGAACTTTAATGATATGTAATAGTTAAATAAATTCAATATCAATTTGAATAACTTTTTTTAAGATGGATCAACAGAGAAATGGATATGAATATATGGACATACATATGTAAGTATAAATATAAATGGTAGCTGCAGGGCACCGGCACCAATGACATTTGTTATAAATACTCATTAAACGATTGTATTTCCTTCTCACTGAATTTTAATTTTTAATTATCATAGGAAATGTCACTTGGGTCCCTGTCGAATTGTCTTTTTAAAATGAACCGAAAGAAAAGAGATTCGACTCAAAACAAATTAACAGAAATGTGCCTGATGGACAAAAGCTGAAAGCTGTAGTAGCAGCGCATGAAACATACCAAAAACATTAAATATTATTCATGTTCGGCGCTTCTCTGCTTTTTTGTGGCGAAAAAAACTTTCGGAAGTCTAGCTCATTATTAAATAAATTAAAAAGACCCCATTTCCCAAAAAATTTGATATCTATTTGATTTAAAAGAAACAAACTATTTCATTCATTCTACTCCATAAAGAATTCAAGCATTAAAGAATTTTAGAAACTTTTAAAAATTAAAAAACTGTTTAATTAAAAAAAAAAACCGTTGCTCTAATATATGAAAATCAGAGCAGAAGGAAATTATGATGAGGCTTCTGAAAAACTGGGCAATCAGAAAACTTGAACCATTTGCCAAGAACAAACCCCATGAAGCAAAAAAATTGTATTGATTCTTAGATTCTGTGAATCAGAGGCGTAGTCGGAAGAAAAGTGGTGGATCGAAAGGTAACCGCTTCCCCAGTCACCAATTTATATTCAAAAAAGATGTAAGCGAATAAAGTTCAGATAACCATTTAATCACTATTCCATATTCCGTTCCCTTAGCGAAAAGAACAAAAATGTAATCTTTTCAAGTTGGAGTTGTCAAAGCCAGGGTTTGGTTTTTCTCGGACCAAAAAACAAACGGAAAAACTAAAAAACGCGGATGCAATACTTAGGCGTAGACGATAAAATGTTACGATGCAACTTTTGTTAAAAGAGCCAGGGAGAAAAAAGCTGGAAAGATCATGATAATTTTGTTTCATAATTTTACATTTTTAAATGTTGTATTACAATATTTAATGTTTGGATAATAGTTGCAAGCTTGCCCAGCTGATTGCCAGTAGTTTTGAATTGAATGTTAAAAAAATTGTACTCTGATTAAAGGAACGTATGCATGTGTAAAAATTTTAAAGTTTTGTAATTTCACAAGCAATTCATTTCCAAAAAATACTTTTTTTTTTAGTATTTATTTAACGATGTTCTCTTTATTTTGCAGATATAAATAAATATATTGGTAATTAAAACTAATAACTTTTACAATCTGTTCTGTATTCAAAATTTCTGTTTAAATTACGGTTTTGGGCGCACACTCGATTAGCTTTTGATGTCAACTCATCAGTTGAAATGCTAGTAAACATAAATTCTCGAAAACTCGAACCACTCCAATAAACATCTGTTACTTCTTGATCTTAATCAATATTCTCTTATTCCATGATATTTTTGCTCTTCAAAATAAAACCGTTCGAACTTCGAAGTAAAATTATTTGTAGGTGTATTCAATTTTTTACACAATTTTTGAGAATCCTGTTAATAGACTATAACTTCGAGCTAGTAGTGTGATCGCAAGTGTTTTGTAACATGTGTCCGTGTAATGCTGCTGGGTTGGTCATCAGTGCACTGTTCATCAACAGCCATCGGATTACTGGATCTTGTTGCTGTTTCTCTATAATGAATCTTTTAATACGCATATTTTCACACATTTGTTCGAGTTGAGGGTGCTCTGTTTTTAAGCTATGCTTTTTGCTTTGCATAGCCAAACGAGCACCGACCCAGGATAGGACTAGAAAAATAATCGTTTCTCGCTATAGTTTATGTATTTTCGTTTGGCAGCGCGCTAAGCACCGAAATAAGTGTTAAGTCAAAGCAATAGCATTTTGATTTATGACCTTGTAAAGCAGTATTGGGAGGAGCACGTCTCTTGTGTAGAAAGCAAACAACAGCAAACTATATACGCGTGTAAAAAAATATATATACTTCTTCTTTTCCTAACCACATTCAAGCTACAGATTGATTTTTCTCTCTCTTTTTGTTCTTCCTATATACAACTTTGCACCTGCTTTGACCCTATACACAAGGAAATTATAAAAATAAATGTATACATGGTTTCGTTTTCGTTTAAGTGGTAATAAACACAGGAAAACTAAATACAAAATTGGCAAAATATTGTTTAAACTAAAGAATAGCTGCTTTGGAACTCGGTGTTCAATGAACTGGCCGTTGTTTGGTTATTAAATTGACGCCGTCGATTAAGGCAAAAATAATAATAATATGCGAAGTACTTGATTAATAACTATTAAATTTAAACATTTCTCTAAATGTATTTACAAATCACAGCTACAAACACTAAAACCTTTTTCCAGTGTTGCTTAAGGTGGCGATTACAGGCGTTATGCGGGGCTCAAAAAACAAAAAAAAAACTATGAAACTAAACGTTTACACGATAACATTACCATTCGTTATTCAACTCGTTCTCGCGTTGTGCTTAAATAAAATTTGTTCTTAGCTCGCAAAAGGCCGGCCGTAAACTATAGTCCAGCAAGTGTAAGAATAAAGTTGTGAATGATTAGTTCATAGTTTTACAGCCAACCGCCTTTGCGGCCGAAAAGCAAGGAACTAACTGAACCCACAAACGCCTGTGTGATGCTCTGCGGTGCCGCTTCCTCCTCCGCTGCCTTCGCCGCATTCAGCTTGGAGCCCAGCTTGCTGCTGCTGCCGCTGTCGGCTACCTTTCCCAGATCAGGACGCACCCGTCCGCCGCCGCCGCCTCCTCCGCCTCCGCCAGAAATTGTGCCCAAATCGGGTCTCTGGTTGGCCATTCCGTTCTTCAGTTGCCTTCGCGATTTCTGACGCTGCATCTGCTTGAGGCGCGTTTCGCTTGCCGTGCCGTTGGTTGTCGTCCCCGATGCACTTGATCCAGAATTCGGCTGACTTTGTGCGGCTGCTTTTGCTGTGGGTGCCATGCTTTTCGATGGCTTGATCTTCATCACCAGACCCTGATCGTCGCTGTCATCGCTGTTGTAAGCACTGGTGCTGCTGCTCGTCGATATGGCCACCCCACCTGCCGCTACAGGTGTTGATGACGACGCTGCCGCAGGCGTGGGCGACTTCAAACCTCGATGCAGGACACCCTTGATTTGGGCTCGATCAAAGTGTATATCGTCCACAATGCTGTTGCTACTGGTGTGCAGACTCTGCAGGCTACCGCTGCTGAGCGGCGAACTGCTGCGGTTCGCTATTCCCGAGCCTAGGCCTCGCTGTGCGCTTATTATGTTCTCCAGTCCAATGCTCTCCACCTTCTCGATCAGGTTTAGCGATCGCAGTGCCCGTCGTTCCAAGTGCGACAGCATGATCTTCTGCTGCTGCTGCCGACTGAGGCTGCTACGTTGCTTTTGTTGCTGCTGCTGCTGCTGGTCGCCGACGATCTTGCGGCGGATCAGATCCGCCCCCGACGAAAGCAGGCCAAAAAGCGGCTCGGGTGACTGGGCGCGAGGTGGCGATCCCTCCGGACTGTTGCACGGCGTCACCGTGGGCGAGAAGTTGGGACCTGCTGGTGTGTTGAGGGCACTGGGCGTCACCGCCTTGATGCCCCTCTCATTCAGCATCCCAGCAAGCCCCAGGTTTACCGAGAATGTGGAGCAGGAGTTCTTTCGCGACAGTCCAGCACGAGGCGTGGCGGGGCAACTGAAAGTGGGAGAGAAAATCTGGCATTAGTATAATCTAATAACAACTTAAAGCATCTCAGATGAGTAAAGTTAAAGCTGTGAAGTGAATCTGTGTAAAATATTATTATTGAATTGCCGGCAATAAAGTTATATCAGAAACCCCCATTAATTTGAATACAACCAAAATCAACAACTCAAAACGAATTCAATCCGCAGGACATTTAATAAAATAAAATATAAAACGGTCTTTAAGAATTTTGAAAATCAAAAAAATAAACAAAACAAACTAATTTGTAAAGAAAAAATATGTTGACCTTGGTCAAAACTGGCACATGGGGTGGAATGATTTAAAATTCCAGTTAGTAATATCACTAACCATACAACATATAGACTGGTCATTTCATACGACGCATTTGGACACAAAAAAACGGACCGCGGAAGGTCCACCGCTCTCACAGCAGCAGGTCCATGCACTTCGTGTGCGTTCGGGTTTTTTACTCTCTCATTCTTATTCTCATTTTTATGCTCGCGCACTCATTGCACGAGTTCAGTCGTTCAGTCGCAGAGAGGCGCTTTTTGAAGAAGGCTGCCCTGCGCTTGAATTCGTCTTTGTTTGTATGCGTGATCATGCATTCTCATACACGGGAGCATGTGTGCGTTTATTTCATTTCGGCGCATCAAGAATATTTTGTCTTTTGCCACTTTTCAAACTTGGTACCCTAAGAATATGGGCGTATTTACTATTGGGTTATGATATAAATATTAATATTATATGTAACAATATATTTTTTTAATATTTCAGCATACATTTTATTTTTGTTTACAAATTCAAATCAGTGGTAGCAGTAAAATGTTTTACATATATGTATGTATTCGAATTTATAGAAATCAGTCCACTGAGATGGGAACAGGGCATATCGCAGTCGTGTCACTTGAAACACCGACTGCTCTTCAGTGGTTAAGAAAACTTCAAACTAAATCAATTCTTGTCGATGTTTTGCGAGCGGTTGGTGCCTGCATACCCTACCGACCGGCTTTTAGGACACTTGTTTTAAATGTTATGTTTAGTGATCTTTGGTTGATTTATTTTTTAATGATTCGCAGTGTTATTTTAATTGTCTTTAAACAAGTAATAAATAATAAAATACTTTTTATATTTTTGAAAATGTAAATGGAACAAATATAAAAATCCACATTTTTTTAATGATAATAATTTATTTTAATGATTATAATTTTAGATTTTAATTGTACCAATATCTTGAATTTTAACGAATTGTTTAAAGACAATTAAAATAACACTGCGAATCATTAAAAAATAAATCAACCAAAGATCACTAAACATAACATTTAAAACAAGTGTCCTAAAAGCCGGTCGGTAGGGTATGCAGGCACCAACCGCTCGCAAAACATCGACAAGAATTGATTTAGTTTAAAGTTTTCTTAACCACTTAAGAGCAGTCGGTGTTTCAAGTGACACGACTGCGATATGCCCTGTTCCCATCTCAGTGGACTGATTTCTATAAATTCGAATACATACATATATGTAAAACATTTTACTGCTACCACTGATTTGAATTTGTAAACAAAAATAAAATGTATGCTGAAATATTAAAAAAATATATTGTTACATATAATATTAATATTTATATCATAACCCAATAGTAAATACGCCCATATTCTTAGGGTACCAAGTTTGAAAAGTGGCAAAAGACAAAATATTCTTGATGCGCCGAAATGAAATAAACGCACACATGCTCCCGTGTATGAGAATGCATGATCACGCATACAAACAAAGACGAATTCAAGCGCAGGGCAGCCTTCTTCAAAAAGCGCCTCTCTGCGACTGAACGACTGAACTCGTGCAATGAGTGCGCGAGCATAAAAATGAGAATAAGAATGAGAGAGTAAAAAACCCGAACGCACACGAAGTGCATGGACCTGCTGCTGTGAGAGCGGTGGACCTTCCGCGGTCCGTTTTTTTATGTCCAAATGCGTCGTATGAAATGACCAGTCTATATGTTGTATGGTTAGTGGTAATATACAGGTAAAATCCTAGTGGTCCAGAGTTATTAGTCCATTCCCTTAATAAAAGTAATTTTCAATCCTTACCTGGGCTGTCTTGATGTCGAAGTGGAGGCCATGCGCGAGGACATCTGCGACTGCGAAAGGAACGACAGATCGTTCACAAAGCCATCATCCGGATGCATGACCATGCTGTTGGTGTAGGTGAATGTGCAGCCTGGTGCCTCGAACTGTTTGCCGGGCAGATCATCGCTAACATCCTCCTCGACGTCCGATAGCGTGTAGATCTGCATGCCCAGGTCGTCCAGGCCACGACCACCGCGAATCGTCACTCCCGGACGCTCGTCTAGCAGGCCACTAAGCGTGGGCGTGGCCAGGCGCGACCAATGGTGCAGCGTCTGCGATCCCTCCATGGGTTTGATAATCTGCAGCTTTTCTGGCAAGCGCCATTGGTGCGTCATGGAGGCGGACATGTGGTTCGTGGAACCCGACATTCCCGAGGAGCCGGTGGACATAATGCTGTCCGGCGTGCGCACGCCCAGCGGGAGGTTCGAGTTGCGGTCGTTTCCTGCTCCGTGAGCCGTCGGCTCATCGTAGTTATAGGTTCCAGCTGGCGCGTAGGACAGCATAGCACGACGGGCCAACACCTCGGCAGGCGTTAGCCTTTTGAGGGCGGCCTCCAGCTCCTTGGCGCCGGGCGCTCCTGGCACACCAGAGGGCTGGGCTGGGTAGCCGTCATCTGACTGGGAGTTGAGACTCTCGCTGGACAGAGTTTTAACACCAAGCGATTGACTGCTGCCGCCGCGATAGTAAGAGCCCGCTGGATATGCCATGGAAGCCATGCGCGGCCCCGATGTGCTGCTCATCGACATTGCGCCGAGTTGGGTCATCGACACGTTGCCGCTGTCCATGTAGTTTCCGCTCTTACCGGCACATCGGACCGTGTCAAACACCCTCTTGTAAGGCGGCACATTACCAGCTCCGGCGTAGATACTGCCGCCCATGGTGGAAGCACTCATGCCGCCGTAGGGCATGTGCATCATCATGCGGCTAATGCGGTCCGCCGATCGTTGGCTGTCGCCGGATATGCCCGAGTCCAGGCTGTTCTCGGAGTACTGCGACGACTCCATCAGCTCGCATTGCAGCGAGTCCGGCTGGAGAAAGCCGCCGCCAGCTCCACTCGTGCCCAGGCCGCCCAGGAATGAGCTCCTCGCCTGCGGCTGCGACCGCTTGCGCTGTTGCTTCAGCTGATCCTGTGCCGAGTGGAGCAGAGCGAGCACCTCTTCGTAGCGCTGCTTGAACTCCACCAGCTCCAATGCCAAAGCATTCTGGTTCTCCTTGGTCACGTGCAGCAGCGACAGGTGCTCATCGTTGTCCTGCGTTAGCTGGTGCAGACGCATCTCCGCCTCCGCCAATCGAGCGGTCAGGCTCACGATCTGCTCATGTTGCAGTCGGTTCTCCTCCCGCTGCCGCTCCAACTCAAGACTGAGGTTGTCGTACTGCGAATTAGCATCGCTCAGCTGGGCACTGATATCAGCCATCAGCTGGCGCTCGTGCTCCTCTACCTCGTCCGTCTGGTGGGCTAGCTGGGTAGCCTCGCACTTTAGGGACTTGTTTTCATCGAGCAGCGTGTTCACCTTACGCTGCAAAAGGTCCAGGGTAATGGACTTGGACATGGTGGGCGTGTCTGTGGAAATAGCAACAAAACGCATTAAATATTGCAGATAAAGTTGAGGTTTTTTTAATTTTTTAATTAGAACAGCTTATTGATTTTAAGGAAAACAAGGATGCAAACTTCGACAAGCCAAAGTTTATATACCCTTGCGGCTTTTTTAAAAATTAAATATTCTTTAAAAAATCTAAGATCTGAATTATATGCGTAAATGTTTAAAAGCATTGAAGGTATGATGATTTTCAGCTCAATTAAGGACGGACATGCCTAGATCGACTCTAGTGATGCTGATCAAGAATATATATACTTTATAGGGTCGGAGATGTCTCCTTCATTGCTTTGCAAAGGAATAAAGATATCAAGTCTTTGGAAAAAACTGATAGTTTTCTGGTTAAAACTTTTCGCCTTAAGATACAGTAATAAGTAAACCGCCGTTTATTAATTAATTATGGTTAAAGTAAAAAAAAAAACCCACCAGTATCCGTGCCATCGTCTGCATCGTTGGTAAGCACTGATATAAGTTCGTTTTTCTTGTGCAGCTCGTGAACTAGCTGTGCGCGGTCGTCGTTAGAGGCCTTAAGATCGGTCTCCAAATCAGCAACGCGAGCCTCGAGGGCGTTGTTCTGGGTGAGAAGTTCCTTGCCGATTTGCACGGTCAGCTCCAGGTCCTTCTCCTTCTCCTCCAGCAGTCGCGTCACGGCCTCAATGTCATCGTACGCCCGAGTCATCTGGCTAACGCGGTTGCCGCATAGAACTATAAAACATATAAAAAGCAAATAACGATGGAACTTTAAAAGCTGATTTTGCTGTATCGTATATCGTATGTAATAAATATAATGTAACTTGAAAATTTTTCGTAAGACAACCCGGCTTGTTTTTCCACAAACTTTGTTTGACAGTGTTTGAAAAACAGAGTGGCTCCAAATCGTTGACACTAAACCGTTTAGCAATTAAGATTTAAAATGGGTTTCTTGTCTTGATGGTAAACTAAAAGTAGGATTTCCCATAGAAATCTAATGGAATTTCGCAACTTAAAACCAACATTAAGCTTAACAATAAGAGGAGAAAAGTTAAATCAGAGCTAAGTGTAGACAAATCGGTCAATAAACTTAATAAACACACTAGAAAACTAACTTCGTGAAACCGATGCTTATATACCAATGCTGATACAAAAAAACGACTGAATCATAACTAGCGTTTTTTTTTCTTAAGCTATATGCGCATATGTTTAATAGCAAGAAAAATTATGATTTTCATACATTTATTTCGATTTTCGCCATAGTTGGATTTTTAAAAAAAAGTTTAAAAGTATTTTGAAAATCGTGAATAATTACTAAATCTTAAGTTAAATTGGTTATTGTTAAAAGCAAGGAATTAGTTGTTTTTTTTTAAATTAATTTTTTCGTTTTTCCAGATATGTAGCTTTACAAGAAAAGACTAGTTAAAACAATTACACATTCGATTCTGATCTAAAATTCAGGATAGTGAAAGTCGTAGATGTCTAAAGAACGGCTTTTTGAAGAGTGAGTTCTAACTGATAACATATTATCATATTTGCTTTTCCTGTCATTAATTAGGACTGTTAAAACAGTATTTGATAAGAGACAAAGGCCTTAAGCTGTATTCATCGACTAACACTTTAAGCACCTTCCATTAACAGTTGCTCGTTCTCCTGCTCTCCCCTCATTAGACCATCTACTCCAGTAACTGCTGCAGCATTTTCTGTTGCAATGTTGCTGCTGCCGCTGCCCAAAATAGAGAGCTCATCCTCGTACTCAAGTTCATCGTCCGTGATGAAGAAGTCTTGGTGTAATTGCGACCAATCTTGGCATGCCTCAAAGGCCAAGTCTTCCAAGTTGGTAATAGTTGTTGTTTTAGCAGCTTTCGATGCATCTCTATGGCCATCTCGCTCTGATGCACTGGCTAAAAATCGATGATGGACCCCGCTGCCGGCAGCAGTCTCCCTCTCGCTCTCTGCGTCTGGCTCCATCTCCTTTTCCACATTGTTTACGTGCGTCATTTTGCTTTTGATGTTTTCTTTCGTTTTCTTGAGAGTCAAAGGCAAATTCTTTTCTTAGTCACTGCATTTTTGCTTTGATTTAAATTATATTTAAATCGTTTGGTTAGGTTATTTCCGCTTCGATGTGTATTATGTAATTTTTAAAACATTTTACAAATTCTGCAGGCACTTTCGGTTAGTTTTGTGGCACTAGAGGGGTGTTTTAGTTTTCTCTGCGATTTCCCCTTTTCCTTTCTTTTAATCTCTCATCGGGGTCACATGATATTGTATTTTTTTATTCATTTGCCTTGATGGTTGTAAAAGTAAACATTAAAACTAATTGCTAAATTAATGCGAATTGTCCAGAGTCACAGGAGAAAATGAATAACTGTCATCGCGTTTGCTCTCCCCCACTCTTTATTGCTCTCTTTCTCTCTTTGCCACCCACTAAACGCGGAGCATGCGCAATATAACTTAGCACTCGTTAATTTATTTTCAAAGATTTCGCTCGGTCAAAATTATATTTGTATATGTAAACGCGTCGCTTCACTGCTCAATGTTATCTTTTCTGTTTTTGTTTTTATTAATAGCCATGAGCGCAGCTTGGAAACTGGAAGTGGAACTTCTTGCTCGGGCAAACGCACACTCACAAATGGCAGCTGAGACGTTGGCAGCGACTGAGGAGAACCGGCAGCGCAGACAACAACAATAGAAACAGCATTAGCAACAACAACAACTTCAGCAGATCTTAAAGTAAAAGGCGTTTTCCCAGGTATTTCCCGAGAAAGGAAAATGAAAATGGCAATGTATACAGCTACATTTGTTCAGCTGGGAATTCTAAATGGAAAATGATACAAACACAAACTTGAAAAACTCACATGGTTCCAAAAATTTCTGTGTCTCACTTTACTTCACTTCACAATAAATATTTTATACCAGTTCAAAAGTCCAAAGGTCAGAGACATTAACCACACACAACGGAAACAAAATAAAAAAAAACTATACAAATGCGAAAACTTCAAATCTAAGTGAAAAAGACGGAAAAAACTGCGCTCCGAACTCGTGACGGTACACACACACAACACACAATCGTATTTCTTCTTCTTACGTCTTTGGCGTGTTGTTTTTGTATATTCTTTTTGCAGCTTGCAAACGTTTCGAACAGATCACAGCATCTTTAAATACATGCACTCCATTTAAAATTCCGACTTCTTAACTTTGTCAATTTTCGTAAATTGTTTAATATGCCGTTCGAATTTTGCACAAATTGTGTAATTTACAGATTGCAGATACTCGAGAGAATGACAAAACGCGAGGAGTGGAAGCCAAGAGTGAATGAATTCGGTTTGTTGTATTGGAATCCACCACCATCCACTTTGGGGAGAGCAAATAAGAGAGCAAGAGAGCAGTACAGTATTGCCAGCTCAAAAAAGCTGGAGTAGAGTGCCAAGGTGGTAGAGTTTTTGATACTGTGTTTTCTAGTAATCATCAGTCAAAAACTTATTTATTATGAAATATTTAAATTTAACTCTGAAAACTTTTAAAACCAAAACCATTTAAATATTTTCAAATATTCGTTTTTGTTATGGCGATATATTTTGTAAAATGTTAAAGTAGAATTTTACTGCTTCTGTTATCTTGTTGAATGTAATTTTTGTCAACTTTTGTTTTCTAATATTAAAAAAACGGACGAACGGCCAGACGGACGGACATTACTAAATCGGCTGGTAATTCTCATCATGAACATTAGTATATAATTTGTTTTGTCGTAAATGTGCCTTTTATTGCGTTGCACACGTTCGACTAAAATGATTCTTCAAGGGTATTACAATGTATAGCTTCGTTATTTTTTAAATTTTACGCACCTAGGTTCTATAAAATATCATTGTTTTTCCATTACAGAAATAATGATTTCATTCCTACTTAAATCTGTTTTGTCTTTTTTTTTTAAACAATTTATCCATGAACTTAAATAATATACATACATATTGAAATTGTTTCTGCAAAGCTATAACAACTTCGGCTTGACAAAGTTTGTTTCCTTTCTCGTTTTTCTTTGTCAATTGAAAATCTGGAACCATTTTCAGCATTATACTAATCCCATTCATGGTAAGGGTGCGAAAAACTACGCGGGTAATATTCCGCGTACCCTTATTCAGAAACATATGTACTTCCGAGAAACAAACAGTATTCGAAAAATTCAGGTACGAAATTTTAGCGAAGAATGAAATAAGATAGGATCAGTGGTGGGTAGTTGATTTACGATTCTTCCGGACAGTTTGGGTACTAACTAATTGCCAGCTCAATAATTTTCGGCACGTGCCGATCGGTCATAAATATCGTAAGAAAAGAAAACTCATTATTGGACGAGTCTACATTTTTTATATACCCTTTAAAATAATAAACTTTGTTTGGGATATGATCCCCTGTTGATCCATTTAATATTGTATTTACATATTTATCTATTTACTTATTTGATAAGCATATCTTAAGTTAACCTTACAATAGAATTTTAATAAAACTTTGTAGGTTCGCAATTGAATCTCCTTCACTGCTTAACAAACTTCTGACCAAAATTAAAAAACCTTTTCACAGGGTATAAAAAGTAAAGTAAATATTATAACTAGTTTGTTTCTTGAAAACAAAAATATATTTATTCTGTTTCAAATGTGAGTTACAAGAATGTGAGTTGTTCACATATTAATATTTATATATGTATAATAAAAACAAATCAGTAGTCAATATTGCTTTACAATTTTTTAAGATCCATAAAAACGGAACTACGTGCAAGTCATAAACGATAGTTAATGGGATTTCGGTAGTTTTTTACGCTAATAGAATTTTAGACAATAATGTCATGTGGTTTTGCCTGCATTAATGATAATGTGTGACTTGAGCTTTTTTCCGCAATCAATTGGCCAAGATAGTAGGGCTGGAAATTAAGTGATAAGCAAAAAAAAAAAAAAACAAAAAAAGGAAAAGCTCCCCTGAAATTTAAGAAAAATAAATTAATTCAAACTCGCAATGATAAGCAATCATGATCCCAGGCACAAGATGAGATCATGTGCTGTTTCTGTTTGCCTTATTTTCTTTCCCTTCTCAAACTTAATAGTTTGTCTAACGAACTTGCTAAAAGCCTCGACGATTATAGAAGGCTACAAAAAGTCATCATACGTTGTGTAAATATCAATATCGCACTCTAATGACGAGTCGGCACGATCGATATAGTATATCGAAAAAAATACAAAGTCTGAAATTCACTCAAGGAAATAAAAGAAAAAATTGAGAAATTAAGAATTGGCTCGGCCTGTATGTGCAAAAAAATGGCTGTCGTGTTTGCTCACACGTCGACCACAACAAATTAACTTAAAAAAACATCGAAAACAACAATAAAACTCATCAATTGAAAATATATAAAGCCTTAAGATAAGATAAGAACAACTCAAAGCCAACAAAAATAGAGACCATAGACCTGCAGGCTGCACTTCAGCGATAGGTGTAGCAAGTAAATAAATGTGAGGCCTTTTTTACAAACTACAAAGCTATTTTTTTTTTGCAATTCAAGTGCTTTGATAATGTTTATAGATTGCTTAATATTGAACGGCTTATACTTAATGTCTTGAAAAAAGTTTTTTTTTACAATAGGTAATTAAATAATCGTTACAAAAATTATTAACGAGTATCAAGGTCACTTGGGGGCACACTTTCAATAGAAATTGAAGCACATTTTACTTATAATGTTGCCATATGGTATATCAAATCTAGTTTTTGAGAGCATTGATTAAGGCATACTCAATTATCACCCAGATTTGCTTTTCTCTTGTGCAATAAGTGTAATGGAATATAATTTCAATAAATGCTTTTATCAAATCCGTAACTGATTAAAGAACATGTTCATTAAGCACCTAAATTAACCCGGTATCATAGAATTACCTTTGTTTGTCAGCAGACTGCGCACCACTTTCAGGCAGTTTTTGCCATCGACTTTCTTGGAGGCGTAGTACATGAGTTCCCAACTGCTGGCCGCCTGCAGCAGCTCTGATGGCAACTCGAAGTGCGGTGCCTCCAGCGGGCCAGAGATCGGACTGGGAACCGGAGTCCCCGGAACACTGACCTCCGTCTTTCGCTGCCCCTTTGACGCGAAATCATGGAGCAGGGCCAAAAGAGGAGCTGAGCCGCCCAGCTGTGGATCCATGGACTTTGGTCCGGACTTCATCTTCTGCACAATGCATCGCATGCGATCCACCGCCTCCAGTTCGAGTTCCAGACGCGTGGGCGGTGGCTCAGTCCCGTTGACAATCGCCGACATTGAGGAACAGCTGGAGATGCTGTCGAAATCGCTGCCAGACCCATTGATCTGCTGCAGTTTGTCCGCCGAACGCTGGCAATTGGTGTCCAGATGCTGACCCAGCAGCTTGTAGGTGTTCTCAAAGTGTTTGCTGGAGTTCGAGGGTTGACTGGTGATCAGGGTGGCATTCAGGGCATCCTCTGAGGCATGCGACCACAGGGAGCTGCTCGACTTGCTCAAGAGCGGAGAGGTCGTCGAACTGCTGGCTTCTTCATCCACGCCAAAGGTGCTGTTTAGCTGGATGCCATTCTCGAAGGTTTGGCCATAGTCGTCCGCCTCTTGCTCGACTATTATGGGCAGGGCCTCCAGCTTCTTGATGGGATAATGTGGCTCTGGTTCTTCCTTGGGATTGGGTTTACTTCGGCTTGCATTGTTAAGGAGTGGCATTTTGCTATACGTGCATTTCTTTGCTTTAACGCGATACTTTTGCTTTGGTTTTCGACTTTAACATATATTTTTGAACACAAGAACAATACACTGATAACTGGAATTTTTAAAGTTTTCTTATTGTCTGCTTTTTGGGAATACAGAGTGGGCGAAGTGCCTATAAAGATTATGAATTTAATGGTGTAGTGGTGAACTTTTGTCGAACGATTTGTTATCTTTACGAGCAGCATTGCAATTATTGATCAGCGTTTTTTACCCGACTAGCGAGCTAGCGGTTACTTTTAGATTATTAGGCAAGTCAGCATTCAATCTGCGGAAGGTGTTTGCCTCATTTCCAAAATAACAAAAAAAAAAAAAAAATAAAAACATAAAACAACAATAGCAAATTGTTTGCGCCAACAACTCCCAACATTTACATACAATGCTGCAAGTCGAAAAATAAATCACAAATATTTCAAAACTGCGACTTCACACCGCAACGCCCAGGAGAAGAGTGGACAGATTGTGGGCATTGTGGAAATTTAGTGGCTACTACTAGAGGAAAGTTGGGCGCAAACAAGTTTTACAAATTAGTTAAATTGGAATGAGATGCATTCGAATGGAGCAAATCTACAACATGGCCAAGATCACGTAGGTCGCCGGGAAAACTCGTAAAATCGTAAACTCGTAGTTCTTGAACGCAGGTAGGAAGCAGCGTGGGTTGGCTCAGAATGCTGCCTGCTCGGGTGGGAAATGGTGCACATCCCAAGAAGAAGAAGAAGAAGAAGCTGGTCCATTCACGCTCTCAATAGCCATTCGATCATAATTTATATGCCCGGCCAGGCAAAGTGAAAGACAATTAAGCTGAACCCAACAGAGAGTTGGCCGTCGAGCTAGATACAAGATACTAACGGTTGTGCCAAATGAACAGCAATCATGAGATGACCAACATAAAGCTGGCTAGTCGAACAAAAAATCATAAACCTAGGTGGAGATGGAGATGATTCAACCGATCCGACTCACCGTTTTAGACTAAGCGTTAATCATTTTTTGTCCCCGCAGTTTAAAGCATTGATGCGCTTTGCGTAAAAACCTCATTTCAGTCGCTGCTTTCAGGTTCATCGACATGCACAAAGCGTATGCACTTGTGAGTCACGTTTCCCAACTTTAAATACCGGACAATCGAAGGGAGCCGACCAATAAACTTCGTTATCACATTGAAAAACTAAGGCATACATATGACAAAACGAACTTCAAGAATGAACACATTCAACTTGATTAGCTGATTGAAAAAATATGAAACAAAATGGGCAAAAATAACAGACAATCGAGCGCGAATTGATGAGCCGCAGGGTAATTATGTAAAGACAACTGAATAAATAACTGAGGGAAAAGCAAGCAAAACATCCGAAAAAGTCCAATCAATTCGTACACGCGAAAATAAAACGAAAATGGCCGCAGTAACATTAGACAAACTCTGTTGTTGGCATGTTATTTTGTGCAGTTTTTGCCATGAATTTGGTTCACATCCAGCTTTCACAAATGTTGTTTGTAAATAATTATTGGCAAAAGTTTGCTGCATTTAAACATGTTATTGTGTTCAGTACAAGATAAGAAATGTACAAGACTTTATTTGGAAAACGCCATCATATCTGTTTAAACGACCAAAAAGTTCAAGATAAGAAAACATCAATTTTTAGGTATTTAGTTTCCTAAGGCCCGAATTGTCATTGGTATTGAAAATATTTTCATTGTTATTCAACCTAACTCGAACTGAATCGCTAAAAAATGTATTGCCATACTAACTCAACTATTTGATAATATAAAATGAAATGTAATTGATTTTCCTTACATTTTTGTTTACTTAAATTTGAATTAAGTGTAAGCAAACATTAGTTGTTCTTTTTTATATCCAGTGATCGATCAATTGATAACGGCAAAGTCAGGAAGTTCGATGTCCGCTGCAATTGATATGCGAACGAGTAATGGCCAGCCTTATTATTGTATCATATGTTTATTACGGAGGAAAACGCTTTGAGCCACATTTTCTTGCACCAATTAACGTCGGCAATGTGAATGTCCCACTCAATAGGCCAGTGACACAGAAGAAAAGCGCGAAAGGGGTGGAGGTAGAAGAAAATCAGACAGATTGGACGAAGCCTCTGCAGGTGCAATGCTTTGCGAAATGACGCAATGAAAGTATGTCACAAAATGTAAACCATCTCAGACAATTGTTTGCTGAAAAAGCAGCATGGTCAGTCGGACATAAGCCGCTTTTCGTGTTAGACCAACGAACATGGCACCAATTTGTGTGTGCCATTTGGTTCGGCAGAAGCTTAGCACCAATAAAAGTACAATTGCCAGAGCGATTATGACTGTCCATTTAACGTGCCCCATAGCTCAAACGCCATTTGTACACTTGTACGCTTGCGGTTAGTTTTCAGCGGAACACTTGATGAGCCAACGGAACGCGTTCTTTGGCTAGATAAACCGTTGATTGATGCGGAAGAGCCACTGGGCGATAGAGCTAATCGATCAAGATGCCACGCCATTGAAGTACAGTTGTAGTTAGCTACACAAGAAGTATTGAAAAATGTTATATAATAACATTTCTTGGACCATGATTCATATTTATTAATCATTTACTTTCTTATTAGGTAAAGATTGCGAAATTAGTATGACTAATATAATTGTTGTATGTGGTACAAACATTTTCAAAATAATTAAAAACAACAGATTTGCGGTCGCCGGTTTTACCCGGTCCTTAATGAAAAAAAGGTTATTTTTCAAAAACTTAAAAAAAAAAGTTTGGTTAATGTTTGTAATGTTTTGAACTATTATAGCATTGTATAACGAACGATTTATTAAGATAACCTACCGAAAAGAAGAATCAATTTTTTTAAACTCAAAATTTTTATACTTCAAAATTTATTGTAAGCAGAGCTATAAAAAATAAGCCTTCATAGCACGCCATATAAAGAAAATTTAAGATCATTTGTTCAGATAACAAGTTTTCTAGATAAATGTTTTCAGATTTATTTTATGCAGCTACAGGTTATTCTCGCGAAAGTTATACAATCTGTGATAAGAAAACAAAGTGCAATTACTTCGAACGCAATGAAAAGCTTGTTTTTAATATGACAAAACCGAACATATTTAAGTCTATTTTGGTTGGGGTTGCCAAAGTTTGCTTATATAACGAAAATAAAAATCGAAAAAGATTGTTTATCCATTTTGACCATGCATGTATTTGTTTGTGTGTATTATTCTTGACTATGGAACCTGGAAAATACAAATTAGCATCTGATCTGGGAAATTTTAACCCGATGTGGTTCATCCAAGGATAGGGATCACTGTAAACCGGCTGCACTCAAAGAACTGGAAGTCAAACATTCGTGTAGCGGTAAATGGTAAATTACACGACCAGTACGCACATGTGTATGAACACACACCCATGGAAAACAAACATCGGCGAACAGCTGGTTGGAATGAGGGAGACGGAATGTCGATCCGAGACAGAAATGGACAGGAAATTCCGATAGAGAGCAATATAGAATTAAAATTCCCCTTATCAGCGAACCGAAAGACGAAATAAAAGCGGGGCATGGAAAAACGATTATGTAAAGAGACGGTACGACAACTGCAAATAGAGAAACCCTATTTAAAGACAAGAACAAATTAAGCTGACAGAAAACAAGCCCTGCCCATGGCCTCCACCCAATAATACCATTCATTAAACGCGCTCGCTTAAATGTTTACAACAGCTAGCATTTTCCTCTTCATAATTCACAAAAAAAAAAAAATGAAAGAAAAAAGTTTGGCACTCACACACACACCACACTCTCACAATAGTTGTCCTAAAAATAAATTCAATTCGTATGACAGCACGAACAAACAACACTTGGAGAATTTCCAAATGCTTTGGCACACAACGCTTACGAGCAATACAAAGCGAGTATTATTAATATTTTGCGTTAATGATTTTTCGGCAGTGCCATTGCTTCGGTTTTGCTTTTATTTGGCACACATATTCCTCGAGTATTTTCGGCAAATTATGCCAGACGTGCACACGCACAATTTCACTGCCAACGAACACAGATTTTTCGTTATTTTTGCACTTATTAATCAGAGGCAACCGCTTACATTTTCTTTTTGGCACACGGTTTTCGTATTTGTTTCGCGGCGCTAAGACATTTGAAATGTACACACAAGCACGCGGAGCACCATTACTTTTCCCTTTCCCCACCGATTTCGAACGTTCAACAAAACCATAAGGCGAAATGACAAAAGCATGCACAGCGTTGCCAGATCGCCGGCCGGGCCCCACTCAGCTGTTTTTGGGGGCTGTCATGTTTGAATGGCAAGCCACAGCTGCCGGCCGACGTTTTACAACACCGATTGCAGCAACAAGTGTTGTATTTGTACCCCAAGTCGATAAATCGTTAAAGCCTTATGGGGCTTTGTTGGCGCGAGAACCAAAACAAAAAATTGCTATTTTTTATTTACATTTCCGACATTTCCTCAATTTTTTTTTTTAGAACAGAATTACATTTGTTTTTATCAAACTTCACTACCAGATCTTACTTTTACATAAAACCATACAGTTTTTTGTAACTTTAATAAGAACGGAATAAAAGCTGAAGTTTTTAAACTTTTGCATTTACAATAAAAAGTTATATTCCACGACAGATTTATATGCGTATATAGTTAAAAACAATCTAAATTTTTCGATCAGTTTTATAGCAGCTATATAACATATCGTCAGACTGTTCTTAAACTAAAACATTAATTTTATTTTTCGTAGAAACGGTCGGAACGACGGGCATGGATTGATCGACTCACTTGTTTATATATACTTTTATAGGGTTAGGGAATTTTTTGTAATGCCCTAGGTTAAGAAATATTGGTCGCTCTTCTCTTTTAAGAAAATTTTTAATTATTTATTTATTTTTAAAAGAAATTAAATGAAATTGCCCATTGTTCTTAATGTTAGTCTACCCTCTACTCTTCTGAAAATTTCGCGGCAACTTTTTACTCTTTCGTTCTATGTTTGCTGTAATTTTGTAATCTTTATTTTGTTCATTCCCAAATGTAAATTCAGTATCAATATTCGTCAGCACTGCTAGTTAATTCCTCTTATTATTTTGATAATTATAGTCGCCCAGGTTAAATGTATTTTCCAAAAGCTTCAAACAAAATGTCACTTTTTGAGTGATGTTATAAAAACCCTGCCAAAAGCAGACTCTTAAGTTATTAAAGAAACATCTATGGTATATGCCAGCCCACAAAAAAAAAACGAAACAAGAACGAAATCATTTCAAAAAAGTGTTTTTTTAATATTGGCACTAACATTCGCAAAAATGTCAGAGACAAACAGCATTTGCATGTGACTAACAAAAGAAAAAACATTTGCATGTATTATGTATAGCAATTTATTTGTATTCTGCTTTTTTGCGTAGTGAAGGGATATAAACAATACGAAAAATATTTAAAACGTATGGGAATTTAAGAAAACAAAGGTATAAACACAAATTTAAACACACACTGTGTTGCTGACAAGGAAAGTACCATTGAAAATTTACAGATACGTGCACATTTATGAAGAATATAGTATATAAAGATTGAATAACGCAAACTGACTATGATTCAAAGGCTGACCGCACAAGTTTCCGCTGATAAATTTGTATTAATTGGGCAATTGTATAGTGACAAAGAGCCACCAGCACCATAAAAAAAATATGTTAGGAAATTTGGCTTTGGACTTCCCCCATTAATGGAGTGCAATATAAAAATTGTAGATACAGAATGCTTTAAATGTTTTAGGGTTGTTTTTAAATAACAATGTGTAATATTTAAAGGGAGTTTAATTGAAAATTCAGATTCTTAAACTAGTAAACGATTTAAAGATTTTATTTGGGGACAGAAGTTCATTACATTAAAGTATGTAGAATTTGTGCTCTCGGGGTACCACAAAAAAAAAATACTCATTATAAATGTATTATTTTGTATCCAAATGTTCTATAGATTTTTTTTGTTTACATCACGTTTTAGTAGCTTTTAGTTTAACCCAAAAAGATAATAAACCGATTATATTTGCTGCATCAACAACAACAAATTTTTAAAAACCATGAGTTTTCGCATTGATTGTCCCTTATAAAGGTTTTAATGCTTTGAAATACTTGATTTATAACCAAATGAACTTTAAAATTGATTCACTTTTAGCACTGGGTCAGCAAATAAAAAATGTTTGATAAAAAAAGTTAGTTTTTAAATAATATATTCAAAAAATATTTTTTTGGCAAAAGGATTTTTTACTTCAGTAGTAAATTTTTTTTTTCTTTAGCTCTCTAGTTTCGTCCTCTGTTTGGATAAACTATAACAAATAAAACTACAAAAACATTGATTCAAGATTTTTATGTTAAGATTTCAAGAAAATCGACTTGAGCAGCGCCTTTTTATGTTGCGTTTTCGAGTAAGAAAAACTAACTAAAAGTCGTTTTGCCCACAAATGCCATTTCAGAAATCGGTAAACATCCTAACGCCAAAACGACGAAGCCAATAGTTCTGGAATTTGTACACATTTTTTATAAATAAATCAAAAAGAAATTACAGTGGTTTTTTATAATTTTCGTTTTTTTGTTTGGTTTTAAAAAAACATTGACAAATGAAAATAAGGGCTTTATGATTGTGATCGAGAATTATATTATCTTTTAAACGCAGTTTGATCTATATTTTTGAGATGACCCTGTGTTGCCCTACGTCAAAGGCTGGCTTTGTGTCAATATGTTTGGATCAAATACTTAAAAAATACTAAATCTAACCTAACCTTCTTAAAATTTAAATATGTAACGTGCATTTAAATAAATTGCACAACACTGTTCACACTAAAGAAAAATCTCGAGTGTAGGCTCTTCTTTTATATTTAAAACTTGAAACCAAGAACTCATCTGGTTAGCCTCAGATATCTAATAATACAAGATAAAGATAAAGAATCTACATAGTCAGCTATTATTCCTAGTACCCCAAAAGTAAAAGCCTTCTATTTCTGTTTCGATGATCTCAATCAAATTCGGAAAATTATTGAGTCACTGTTTGGTTTTGTAGACTAAGATATGCAAACTTACGAAAATAATTGAGGCACTCTCTTGTCTGCTCCTTAGTCAGTCCCAGACCTTCCGGCGGAATAGGCAGCGCGGGGGCCGGAACGAACCAATCCTCGTTTGCATAGCCCGAAAAGTTTGTGAGGAAATCGTTGCGCACCTTGTACTTGGGTATTTGCTCCTCTAGCAGCGAAAAAATCTCCACCTCAGGCAGGTTTTCGCTGCTGCACAGTTCTGTGGTTAGAAATAAATCAATTAGCAGGATGGTACACAATTTTGTTCATAATGCAACTACAGTCAAACTCGATTAACCATAAAGAAACCAAATAAAATAGTAACAATATCAACTAATCCGGCAAAGTTACCAACAAAACAATTACTTTTGTTCAACCTGCTTGTTTTTACACACATTTTTATTAGATTTTGCAACCTTTACTGAACTACATAATTTAATTTTTTGAAGGACAGTTGATTTTTTAGTTGACATTAAAAATATTGTATACTATCCAAATCTCAAGTTTCAGATAATAGACGTCGTTTTAATAGTGATACTTTTAATATTCCCCGGAGCTAATATTATATATTATAACTTCATGTTATAAACTTCACTTTGAAACTTTGAGATAGCCAAGCTGGCACTAGTTTTACTTGGGTAGGGAAGTTTGACTGCAGTCAAGAACGAGTTGAATTACTTACCAGTTAGGCAACCGGCATCGCAGGTCTGTGGTTTCGGGGCAGCCGGCGACGGCGTCTGCTGCAGGAGACGCTTCGACTGGAGGCGCGGCAGGTGCTTGCTGAGCGTCGCCTGGGCGGAGGGACTGAGCGGCTGTGAGCCGCCATTGGCCCCCAGAGTTGCGGATAGCATTAAATGATGATCGCTCCTGGGTTGCAGTATTGTCGTGGAATTGTAACTCTTTGATTTTGGGATTTGGGGTGGACACTTCGTTGGTCGATGGGTTCCTCCTCTGTTCCGCGTCTGGTTAGTTGCTCAACTGAAAGTTGGGAGGGAGAGGCGGGCGGCTTGTGTTAATTTTCGGGCAATCACATGAAACTAATAAGCCAGCTGCCAAGCGACTTTTTCCACTCTATTTTCGCTGTTTACCATGAGTATGAGTTCATTGCTAACAAGCGAAGAGGGGAAGAAACGTACACGACTGTCGCTTATCTTTGTGCTGATAAAGTCGGCTGGTGAATGTGAATGATTATTAATACTATAAATATTAGCAAAACGTCAAAGGATTTTCGACTAATATTTATCAACTACTAAATTGGCAGTCGCAAAGTCCCACACCCGAGTGAAATACTCAGCGGTTTCCATGAAATATGCGACTTGGTTTTTCTCTAACGGTACAATTTCATTTGGGAATTTAACTAGTGGAATATATTGTTTGGTTTAAATGAAAAAAAATACATCACACTTACATATGTCTGAATACACTTGACTAAAAAGTTTCAAAAAAATTCCTCCTAAGCCGTAGACCAGTATAGTAACATACATATATACGAACAAGAAAGAAAGAAAACTTTAATTTATATGTTCCTTTGGCAGCTATATTAAAACGTTAATCAAATCAACACCGTAATTCTATAATAATAAACCATTACTTTATATCAAAGTTTATTTGATTCAATTGAAAAACAGCAAAATTATAATTTGTTCATATATTTTTTTCGATTATCTTTATGAGAGCAAGAACTAGAAACAAGAACCGTTATTCTAAAATATTAATAAATATTACTATATCTGAATATATGTTAAAAACAATTTAAAATTAGGAAAGTTAACTTTTTGGAAAAGTTTCTTGCAGAAAGCTTTGAAACTGAGAGACTAGTTTGCGTAGAATAAGACGGACGTATAGACCGACATGCCTAAATCGAGTCTCCTAGTTATACTTATCGAGAATACATTCTTGATCAGCATCTTTAGGTTAGTCGATCTAGCCATGTCCGTTTCTCTGTTATATTTTGTTGTATATTTGACTTCTTTAACTAGTACCGATGTGCGTAGAGCGTCGGGCAGGCGTTAACTGATTTTTCTTGGCCCACAAATGATTGATTGAGTGGAGTCTGCGAGCTTTGTCTAGTCATACCGATGTTTTCGAGGTCGGAAATCTGGAGTACTCGAAGAGCAACACACAAAGCCAAAGAGATGGCTAAAAT